AAAAAAAAAAAAAACATGGGTTTTTGTTTAACGGTGCTTTGGTAGGCTTATCATTTTTTATTATTTTAATAGACCTAAATGAAAGGGGTCAGGCTAAATATAAACACGTTTGACTTAAAAGTCAATATAGATCAGCAAGATTTGAAATTAATTATGTCGTGTATATTGAAAAAGAATATCCGAAAGTGTCGAGAATACGGCTACAGAGTGATAGAAGGAGAGTTTATTTTTGCGGGAAATAATGACATGACGTGAATTTCAAATAATAAAAAGTGCAACTTGACCATTAGGTCTAGATTCTCTGTGAAACACTCTCTGTTGGCTACGGTGCAGTAGGCTTTCATAAGTCAATTAGTCAATTGAAGGTTTTTTTAACAGGGGCCATTTTTACTACCTTGATATCAAATTGGGAATAAGTTATGCAAATCATCAATGTTTAATAAAGTTTTCAAAATTTATTAGGGCCTATAGGCCTATTCCGTGAACAATGCTGGCTACTCGACAAATTAGTCATATAGATAATTGTGTTCATTTACAACTAGAAGATATCTTAAAAGCTCATAAAACAAAGAATTGTAAAAGCCATGAAAAATAAGAATAGCAATGGTTCAACATAGACCTACATTGTACATTAATTTTATAGATTCCTTGACAATTATATTTTAAGTACAGAAATTTTGGAAAGTATTGCAACCGATTACAGAACGACAAGCAGATCAGCTCCTTTATTTACTGTAGAAACTGCATACACGTCTGTTTTAATCACTGTCGCGAAAATCGACCGAAGAATGCCACGAAAAAGATATGGCGAGGGGAATTTATAAAACGGTGACAACTCATAGCCAAAATAAGGATGACGTCCTGACGACCATTCATTATGGAAAGTTTCATGCTTTTATCAGCTGTTGCACAATTGTTAGATTTAGCCGCCTGACTAATCTGTCATCGTTTCCCCACTTACTTGTAAGTACCGACATTAAGACATAGCAACCAATGCGTTCTAGTTGTGAACTGAGACCCTTGCGGGTTCTCATGAGCCTTTTTAACCTACCAGGTTTTCTAATTCTGATTCTGCTGGATACGAATTTTTGTTGGCGCCCCCTATAGCTGATCAACCTACCAGCTTTTCCAATTCTGCTAGATTATGTTTTGTTCTTCCTAACCATTTGTTCTACTACACTGTAGGTTCTGGTGGGTTCCCACAAGGCCGGCCGAATCATCACAGAGTTGGGGGCCAGAACGGCATTGATGAAGAACGTCCATTGAAGTACGTGGAGTTAGAGCCTGGTAAGGGTGTCCTAATCTGAGGACAAATTTATTCACATTATTCACACCCACCCACCCACAAACACACACACACACACACACACACACGCGCGCGCATGCACACGCGTACATTATGTCAAAATCGGTCGGAAAAGAATCAGTTGGAATATTCAAACAGTACTTAAGTGCCAACTACATGTACCTTGTTTATTTCGGTCTTAAAACTAATGTAATTGTCTTGACTTTTTTCTTATTTTACATACATCGTCTATTTGCTCACTTTAACTGTACATGTACTGCTTGTGTATTAATTGTTCGTAAAACCTTTTTAACACAATGTTGCATGGTCGGTTTTACGCATTCAGGTATCTGTCAAGAGACCAGGTTTGACAGACATAATAAAGCCCTTTTATTGAAGTAGTTAAAATTTAAAAACAAACATTTATTTCATTTTTGTTTCTTTTGGGAATAAATAGATGCATGTTTTTGGAGCTTTTGGGTATAGCCTTGAATTAGGATGCAGGTCGTCTATTGGGTAACTAAGTGAAATGCTGTTGTTTGAGAAATAAATGAGGAACCATAGTCACTTCTCTTACTTATGTAGGTGATGCTTTGATCTTCAACGCCAACTTGATCCATAAGAGCGACGCGACGGTCGTTCCTCGTTTCTTACAACACCAAGGAAAACAACCCGGTGTACGTTCATCATCATGCCCAGTATACGCCTTTAGATGTGGTACGTCAAGATATTCTGGTCTTTTTTATTTTTAATAAAAATAACCTGGAAAGATTTTGGATAGTTCACGAATATCAAATCTATTTCATGCTCGCAGTTCGCAAAAGCACTGTTCATTCATTTTAAAATTAAAATTTTTATTGAATTCAAATGAATCCGAATACGCAAGATAACTTTACCGTTTGTACATTCATGAGGACGGGTAGCAAAGTTACAGGTGTGGATTTGAGGGTTGCACCTGTTTAACTGCTAATTCAAATTAACAAAAAAAAAAAACTTTTATGGTAAGAATTCAATTGTTCTTAGAGAGGCAAAACGTATTTTTACGTCAGAAAGAGGCAATGGCTCTTTGACACTCCATGACTGACTCGTGATTGACAAACCTTTTAAACTAACATCATTTCTGTCTTTTAGGTTCCTAATTCCGCCATTAAAGCCTGCACCAACTTCACAGACATGACGGGGAAGGAATTTCTGGACCCGTCCATTGACAAGACTGTCATCGCCGATAAAACTAACCCTGTGAAATTACCGAAGACTAGCGACTAAGACCCCATTTCCAGCGATGGGGGTTAACGCTAAATAGCTGTCAGCCGGGCGGACACGAAAGTTAATTACCCCCTTACAGCTTGTAGTAGGTGGGACGGACATTTAAGCCGGATTATCTGACAGTAATCTAGTGAGACTCCCCGCGGGGATAGATCGATTTAAAAGCTTTGGGAATACAGCCTAATCCTTTGAAGTGAAGAAAAACCAAAATCAAAACGAAGTTAAAAATTGTAAAACATTTGACTAAAATTATATGCCAGAATCAGGAGCATAGGCAGTTACTTTTAAAGAGTGGAAGGAGGGTTCAAAATAACGAGGGCGACAAAAAATATTTGCTTGAAATTCAATATCGGTTGACTTAATGTTTTAATGATTTATTTTAATTTTTAACATATAGCTTAAAGAGTTGATAGGCGCAGTGTCCTTCAGACAATGGAAGAAATATCTGCCAGGTGTTGAGCCAGAGATCCATTGTATTACTGGGGAGATTTCCAGGCATATTTCTTAACTATTTTAATATTCCGGTGGTTTTCACTCATCTTTACGTTGACATAATAGCTGATTGATTTTAAAACTTGGAAGCGGATTCAGAATGCTTAAATAAAGTGTGAAAATGCTTTTCTGTGTACTTTTGCTTACAGCAATAAGAAAACGTGGAAAAGGGGTGCTCTAGTGGCGTTGAAGCCGTCCCTGTGTACAGTAGCAGATGATTCCACAATTTTGTTTGATTTTTTAGGTGCTTAAGATATCCAAGTTGGTGGAAATAAGTTTTAAACAGGTGACTGCAATATCATTTTATTTTTACTAGGCTTTATTTTAACAAGGCAGCAAAGCAAAGCTGTCAAATGTACAGACAAAAAACAGAATAAAAAGATGCAAAAAAGGTCATTTTGTCAATTTTGATGCAATAATAAATAACGCTTATAANTCTGCACATTTTCTGTATTTCTACATAAGCAGTTGTATTGTTTTTTATGTCTTTAAACATTATGTAATATTATTTTATGCACTGTCATCATTTTTCAAATATTGAGACTTTCATAATGTGAATTTGAACTCTCATGGTCCTGAAACTGTAATCTTATTGAAGGGGTGGATTGAGACCATCTTCTGGGTCTTCCGGAAGACAGTCAGGTTATTAAGTTTATATTGACTGGTATCTATTTTTTTCTGTTGGAAGACCATCAAAATGGAGGATGGATCAACATAGATACTTTGTAATACTGTCAGAAAATATCTCTGGGTCTGCTCCTGTTATTGACCATGTTACCTGTTGTGCAAGATTAAAATTCAGTGTTGACTGACAGTGCTATTATAAGCATTATTTATTATTGCATCAAAATTGACAAAATGATCTTTTTTGCATCTTTATTTTCTGTTTTTTGTCTGTACATTTGACAGCTTTGCTGCCTTGTTTCAGCATAATTGCAACCCTGATAAACTAGTTTTATTTACAACTAATTTTATTATCAATGGAACAACAATATCAGTATACTCTTACCTAATATTCTAATTTTCATAGGCAGTTTTACCTTTTTCTTCTGCAACAGAAAATGGCATCAAATAAATTTATTTAAAATATATTTCTCTTTCAGTGTTAGCTGTGGCAATTTTTTCATTTAGGAAGACCAATCTCCTGCAGGTTGGAACAGCTTCGGCAGCGGAGGTGGGTCTTTAGATAACCCTATTTTCTAATTTTTAACACATCAGTGTTTATGGAATAATCTTATATCTGATGCATGCAAATGTTTGTTTATCATTGTTTACGAAATATTTAGTCTTGTATAACTTTGAGATTACCTTTCTTGTGCTAAATTTATAAGCACTTTTTATTTATCTCAGTGCACAGGGTAACTTTAATTTCTTCATTTCAAGAAATTTTTTTGTATTTTAGGGTGTATTAGCAGACATCACAACTCTAAAAGTTGTTCCACTGATACAGCTCAGCCTCTTCTCCACATAAAACTGAACCAAAGAAAGTTGAAAATGACATGGGAAATAAGAACAGGGGTTGCAGTAGCTTTCTCTGTGATATGTTAATTAGTATGTGCATGGGAATTGAAACAAGGCAGCAAAGCTGTCAAATGTACAGACAAAAAGCAGAAAATAACAATTCACAAAATAGGCTACTGTCAATGCTGGTGCAAAAGTACATTATGCTTAACTGCAAATTCAACGTCAAATTTTAATTATGCTCAACAGGTAATACCGATGTAAGTAAAATGTGTAACAAGCATAAGGCTTCAGGCCCATGGGAGTTCAAGTTCACACTTTGAAAATGGCAGAATGAGAAAAACGAAAATTTCATGCAAAATTGCAGAAATCCAATAATATATTAAACAATGACCTAACTGAGCTGGCTTTCCAATTTGAACTGCATGCCAATCCTAAAAATCATACTTGTAAGTTAAAAAAATAATAAGTAACACAGTTTTCTTTTCATAATGTTTGTGGTAGCAGTGCAAAAAGATTTTTGTCAATTTTGATGTAACATTACATAATAAATTACAGAATAATTATCACCAATTTTTGATTATTGACTATAAATAGCATGGCCATGTAGAAAATTTGATTACCATACGGCTTCATGTCCATGGGAGCTCCGAGTCCCACAATGAATATGCCAAAACAATAATAATGGATATTTCACTAAAATGTATAACTTCCAGAAAAAAGAAGCCAATTAGACTGCTTTTTCAACTAAGGCTGCATTTTAGTCCTGTGTTTCTCTTTTGAAAGCTTGAAAGTCATAAGTAACAGGGTTTTCCCATAATGGTCATCATGGCAGCAGCACCAAAAATTGTGTTTTCTTCTATTTTGATGCAACATTACATAATGCTTAACAGCATAATGACCATTAATTTTTAATAATAAAATAAACGTATCATGGATTTTCAGAAATGTGACTAGCATTGGTCTTCAAGCCCGTGGAGATTCTAAGTCCCACCTTGAAAATGCCAAAAGGCGAAAAATTAAATTTTCACAAAAAAAAACTGTTTAATTGCCAGAAACATTTACCAAACAGACTGCATTCCCTATTGAAGCTGTATTTTAGTCCTTTCCTGTAAGTTTGAGAACAGTAATTGACATGATTTTCCTTAAATGGTCATCATGGGAGCAATGCCCAAAATAGGGGTTTCTTCACATTTTGATGCAATATTACATAATGTTCAACAGCATAATGACCATCAATTTTTAATAATAAAATATAAGTATCACAGATAATCAGAAAATGTGACTAGCAAAGGTGTTCAGGCCCATGGAACTTTTAAGTCACACCTTGAAAATGCCAAAATGTAAACAAGACAGCACTGTTCTGAAATGGGTTATTTCCATTTTTAACACGTTTAACATAAAACAAAATTAACAGTTCACTGCCATGATCAACTATGAAAATTGATGAGATGGGAAAAATATCAATAGAACAGTGTTAAATGTCCAATTTCCTTTATTCTGAGATTCTGAACATAGTGGATGATTGAATATGACAAACTGCAATGATATGAGTTTATTTCCAATTTTAACACTTTATTACACAATACACAATAATAAGTTTACATTTGTAATCATTTTTACATAATCAACTAACAATGCTATAAAGATGCAGGAAATGTCAAACAAACACTTTTACGTATCTTATTAATTCAATAATGAGACTGTTAACATGCCTAAGAATTGAATCTTAGGAAATGTGAAAAAACAGCATAACTTCTAAAACAATGGACTGATTATGCTGATTTTCGAACTCAACCTGCGTTTTAGTAAGATTGACCAGTCCTGTGAGTATAATGACAATTGGCCTATCTGTTCTTCTTATATTGTGTTATCAGGGTTGCATATACGCTGAAAAAAGTGAAAAAAAACAGCACAACTTCTCTTAAAATGGCCTGATCATGCTGATTTTCGAACTTAACTTGCCTATTACAAATAATCATCAGTTCTGTAAGTTTCAAGCCAAAAGGTAAAACAGTTTTTCACTTATTGTGTTTACGGTGTTGCATAAATGCTGAAAAAAGTGAAAAAACAGCATAACTTCCCTAAAATGGCCCGATCATGCTGATTTTCGAACTTGACCTGCAGATTATGAATATTCATAAAATCTGTAAGTTTCAAGACAAAAGAAAAAATAGTTTTCCACTTATCGTGTTATTGGTAAAATTGCACGGCGACAACAACGACGACAGACGCAGATGATGTCTATATGTACAGACACATCTGTGTCTGTACATAAAAATAGTGGTAGCGTGATACTGTTTAGAGATGTACCATAATTATACAAATTTGAAAATGCCTCAAAGGCATATTTTTGTGCCAAAATGACTGTCAGTGCTATTGATGAAAAAAAATTATAAAAATTGATTAAACATCCACCTATGTTTTATTGTAATGTGCAGTGGAAATGACATACTTATTAATGAAAAAAAAAGACTGAATACCGGGTATGTTCTTTTATTGTATTTAATGGCAGTGTCTGGACTGTGAAAACTGGTGGGTATTTCCATCAGATGTTTGGCTTATGCAGGCTTTCAAATGAAAATTAGACTGAGGAAAGAAAAGCTACAGTGTATAAAACTCATTTTTCAATCATTTTTATGTACAGACACAGATGTGTCTGTACATATAGCCATCATCTGCGTCTGTCGTCGCCGTCGCCGTCGCCGTTGGCGTGCACTTTAACCGTAAACACGATAAGTGAAAAGCCATTTTACCTTTTGGCTTGAAACTTACAGAACTGATGAATATTCATAATACGCCGGTTAAGTTCGAAAGTCAGCATGATCGGGTAATTTTTAGGGAAGTTATGCTTTTTTTTTCACTTTTTTCAGCATATATGCAACACCGTAAACACGATAAGTGAAAAACTGCATTACATTTTGGCTTGAAACTTACAGTACTGATGAATATTCATAATACGCCAGTTAAGTTCGAAAATCAGCATGATCGGGTAATTTTTAGGGAAGTTATGCTTTTTTT